GCCCCTTACTACTGAATAAAATTTCAGATCTTATGATGGGTGCTAACTGATTTTGCATCTTTTGTCTAGGCTGAAGACGACGTCAATGGGAAGCTTGATGAAGGCTCTGCAAGTCTTATACTTGATACGACACCATCAAAAGTCGTATCTTCAGAGCAAACTGTATGTCCAACTCCTGCTCGTATTTTCTTGAAGGCCATCTGTTGCAAGCTCAGCCTGAAACTATTTTTAGTTTTGCCAGTGTAAAATAAACATGATATACAGCTCTCTCTTCCTCTCTTCCATTTCTGCAGAAGTGCATCCGGTTCCCATTTTACACCCTGACATGAAATGTCATTTTTAAGGCCAAATTCAACTACTTATTTGCAATTTGCCTCTTACAGACACTTTTAACTACCTAGTCAACAATTTTAATGTACTTTTACTCTCCCATGCAGGTCTATGTCAAGTGTTCATTGCTTTACATGGATTTTGAAGGCCGTTCTGATGGCCGATCGGTCAAATCAATTCTTGCCCATGTTTCACCCTTAAAACTTGTAAGGACATCATCATGTCACTGTGATTTTGATATAATGAATTTGCATTATGTCATACGCTGTTAAGAAAATTAATGTTATTTTCTTTACATAGTTATAAGCCCTACAGAAGTCATCACTTTTGCTTACTACCACTCTCAGTTGTCAGCTTAGCTGAACTGTTGTCCTGTTTCTAACAATACAATTGCAATTTCCATGCGCACCCCACTGAGCAACAGTGTTAGACTAACTCTCAAAATTTGAGATAAAAATCAACAGCTTTCTGAATCACGTAATCTTCATTTGTGGAAATTTTTTAGATGTTACGTATTACTAGTTGAATTAGAGAATCAGAAATTGTAGAATAGTTCGAGAAAAGGAGAGAGCTTATAAATAATTAATCTAATCCTGATCCAGTCCAGGCATTTATATCTTATAATTAAATTTTTTGTGGTTCTTTTGCATTTTCAATTATGGAAGTACGTTATAATTATGAGAATATATTACAATTTAATTTGTTCTTGTAATGTTTTTGGGTTGGAGGTCTTGGTGCATGGATCAGCGGAAGCCACTGAGCATTTGAAGCAACACTGTTTGAAAAATGTTTGTCAGCATGTATATGCTCCTCAAATTGAAGAATCAATTGATGTCACTTCAGATTTGTGCGCTTATAAAGTAAGCATGCTTTACTTGTCCATCATGCACGCACAAAAACTCATCGATCCATTTGTATAGAAATATATCAATTGAGTTTGTAATTTATGACCCTTTTTTTTTTTAAATAGGTTCAACTTTCTGAGAAATTAATGAGCAATGTTCTGTTTAAGAAGGTAAGCAGCTGCATATACTTAGCGTTAAACTGAGTTGCTTCAAAATTTGAGTCCATTACTTTTATGAGAGATTTATTGCCCCCAAAATTTTTCCACTAAAAACACTTTAATTAAGTTGTTTAATAGTCTTGTTACCAATCAAACAGATGTATGGTTAACTTGGAATGCTATATTCTCTCTCTCTCTCTCTCTCTCTCTCTCTCTCTCTCTCTCTCTCTCTCTCTCACTAGATTGCTGAAACTTGGGCATGCTCTTTTTCATTCTTGTATTGGCTGTTTTCCCCTCTACATCTCTCTCGTGCATGGATACATTTTCATTCTGATTGCAGCTTGGAGATTATGAAATTGCTTGGGTTGATGCTGAAGTAGGGGAGACAGAGAATGGCACATTTTCTCTACTTCCTCTTTCAACTCCAACTCCACCACATAAAACAGTACTGGTGGGTGATATAAAAATGGCAGATCTGAAGCAATATCTTGCAAGCAAAGGGGTCCAGGTATTCCGATTATCTCTGTTTGAAACAGATTTTATTCTGTTGTTCTCCTTTACTTCTTGTGTATCACTATTTGAACGCCTCTCCATTTTATGATTTTGATGTATTTTGAGAAAGTTGCAAGCTTGGTCCCAACTGATTGTGTGAGAGATGGGAATCTATCTCAGAACTTTCAAGTTTATGGTTGCACGCTACCTCTAAACCAACTCATTCAGTTTAAGTTTTTAATCTATAACAGCATTGAACAATTTGAAGTTTTTAATTATGAACTCCAGTTTTGTTTCCAAATTTTATGCCCCACCCAACATGAGTCATGTGGATTAATGCACTCTCTCACTTTTTTCTGAGCTTTCCTTCTGGGAAGCTTGGGGTGTCATTGAGTTGTCTGTTGGTTAAATGCTTAACGACATATGTTATCTACTCAGGTAGAATTTGCTGGCGGGGCTTTGCGCTGTGGAGAATATGTGACATTGCGCAAAGTAGGAGATTCCATCCAAAAGGTTGGTGACTTCTAATCAAATTTGGAAGGCTAGTTTAAGTTTACCACTGTTCTTTGATACTAGCCATGAAGAATAATGTCCTTCGTAGTTTTCTTAACAGGCAATTCTAAATAACTTATTGTAGGGTGGTAGTTCCGGTGTTCAGCAAATCATTCTTGAAGGCCCCTTATCAGAAGAATATTACAAAATACGGGACCATCTCTATGCACAATTTTATTCACTTTAATCTATAGATTTGCAGCTCCGTTACAATGCAATGCAGGTTAGCCTTTTCCTTTGTAATTTTATATGGTGGGTTGTAACATTTCGCGCACGCGTTTTCTTTTAACATTTTGTCTCTCTCTGTCAGATTCATGAGTGCCGTTTCACTCTAGCCGTTTTCCTGTTTGGAAAGTAGAGTTTGAGACGGACTGATTTGTACTACTTTGTAAAAGAAATATATGCTTTTACATTTTTGAATTTGAAAAGAATTAGAGTAGAATTTATTTCCTGGCTTTCGAGAAAGGGAAGAAGAAAAGTTTACACAGTTCTATTGGGTCTAATAACCCAACAAGCAAAACTGCGAAAAATTGTTTGCTCATTCTTGTAATGGTAACGGGAAAAAAAAATTATTGGTTTATTCACATTTGTCATGGAATTTTGGTAGGGAGTATAGAGTAGTACTTGATAGTATTTATCAAGATTTATGAACAAAAAGAAGTTAAAATTTCGGTTCAAATCCTATTGGACGTAATTTTATTTCCATATATTTTTTTATTTCGATAGCAAGAAAGAATTTTTGCTTAAGAATTCGAGACATTTGACAATTTTTTAAAGTTCTTTGTACTTTTAAGCCTGGTTTAGTAGAAAGACGAGCTTAAAAATTTGCCAGGTTTGGTAGGATGGACATAAGAATTAAAATTTTGATATGTTGTACATTCTAATGTATTAAATATGTTTTAAAAAGGGTTTGGCAATTCCATGGGTTATTGCCTGGTTAAGCATTTCACTTAACTATGCTCGAGGGAATTTTGATAAATAATTTGAAGCAATTAGTTTTTGGTAATTATATTGACATCCCAATTTATTTGCAATGAAGTTTCATCTTTGTTCATTTTCGCACTTATGTTTAAATATTTTTTGATTGTTCCTCATCACCAATTCTTTGTTAATCACAACATCTTATTTCGTTATGAGGGCATAAAAGATTTATTTACTCATTAATAATCAAAATAAACAACAAATAGTTAAGTTCGACAAAATATGTAAAGAGAGAATGGGAGATGATTTTTATTAATTGAAGGTTAAGAATAAGATTGCGACAAAAATAGACAAATATATAAGTGCAAAATTGAGGAGAAATTGAAGGCCTTCAATGTAATTGATGTGCACGAGTATAATTACCCTTAATTTTTTTATTGATATATCAAGGGATGGTTATGTTGTCAATAATATTATTTTATTACACCACATTATAATTCACTCCACGCTAATTTTGTTGTATAATTTTTATAAATTGCACCAAAATTATTTTACAAATATAGCCCTAATTCAATTGAAAAAAGAAGAAAAATTAGAATACACCAGAGTCATGTCCATGGAGTCTTTTACTTGAATGAATTGAATTGTTGAATTACTATATATTTAAATCTTTCCTTTCATCTATATCTATTATTATATAGGTTCCGTTTAGAATAGAAAATTTTGAAAGAGAATTTTTCAATTTGAGAAATGTTACAAGTACAGCACTGTTGATGACCTTATCACATTCAAGGGTAGGGTTCACAATTAAAATAATCGTGGGCCCCATATTTTGTTAGAGGGCTGTGAAAAAAGTGGACTGCAGTTGCTAACTTGCTGTACACTTAGCTTTTTTCAATTTTAAATGAACGAAATGGGTAATCAATTATACTTTTTTGGTTTTAATTTATCATTTAGTCATAAAAAGAAATGACATGTTACAAACCTTATTTGAGTTATTTCTATGGAATTAGAGCTTCAAAATAATATCAAAGTATTTTTTTCTTATTCTTTTGGAATTTTATAATTCATTTCATTGGTTTTGTTTATCCAATCAAAATTTAAAGTGTAAACAATATTACACCACCTGAGGGAAAAAGGAAAGGTCGATGAGGGGCAAAAAATAATGGCAGTTGTTACGCTTCGTCCATAAGGCCCCCCAAATGTCCTACATGGATAATGGGACCCCGTCAAAGCACCACAAGGCTATTTTGATTGAAACTTTTAGGAGTGGCCGAGTCAACATATCTATCAATCCCACTAATTGACCCTGTGAGAAGGAACCAAGCCACGGGGAGGTGAGGCTATAAAGGAAATTCAGAAACAAGATCTCCCAAACAATCTATGGTATGTGATTGATGTTACAAATCACTGCTATCGTTGCCACGTCCAACCCACCAGGCTAAGTCTCAAGCCGCAAGCTAGGCATTTTGGATAATAATATGATATTAGCATTTAATGTTTATGACTGATTGATGTTTCCAACAAGAGACATCAGTCGCACAGATGAAGCCATGTGCCTCTTCATCCAATGGTTGTTATTGTTTGTTTTTCTTCCACTATAAAACTGACATTTGGTGCCATTGATTTTCAAGCTATAACTTTGACATATTACTATTTTATCTATCATTCCCCAAGGTCGACCCCTTTTTTACATAGGAGGCTCAGTCTAGAGCCCTCCTACACTCATATATTCAGTTCTCCAATTGACTTGATCGTCGGATTACTCGTGGCTAACTCGACCTTATCAAAGAGGCTACGTGTAGCTATCGGTTTGTCCAAGTGTGTCGAAATTAGGCTTGCATAGACATGAGAGGCATTGAGATCTGTTGGCCACGTTGGAGGTAAACATTTTAGGGTCAACAGATTGATGCCATTGTGAAAAACCAAACTATAATTGCGAGCATTCTTGTGGTGAAAACCATTTGAAAAGGAACTGTTCCATAGCTTAACCTTAAAAAGGCCCTAATTCTTAAATAAAGAATAGTCGTGGATACTAAAGGGGCCTCACTAAAAGCTTCTTCCGTTATAAAAAGCTATCACTAAATCATGAGTTCAAGCGACTAATGTTCTCACGGCAGAAATCTACAGGAAGAGGCTTCTGAAGAAGAAGTCATCTGAAAGTATGTCAACACCCGTTGACGCCACCACTAACATCAACGAAGCGGTGGCACAATAGTACTCCTAACAAGAGAGGTGGGAGAGATAGCTGCAAACATGAGGAAAATTGCCCAAAAAAATTCCACCATGTAGCATTTACTCATTTTCTCATACAAATGCAAAGACAAGCTGGATACCAAATACCTCAGCGGGAAGCTTTCCCTCAAGAAGAAGAGGAAAACATCAATGACTATTCCAAGAAACGTCGAAGGGACCTAGCCCTATTGAAAGGGATGTGGAAGTGTACATATCTACAAATTACACTTCAAGTCAACTCGATAAAGGCTTACCACGTGGGACAAAAAACTTCCCCACAAAATATGCACAAGAGCATGAACCTCAAAGGTCTACCAGCGTATCCGATAGAATCAGACCATCAGCGTCTAGAAATAGGCCCCATCAATCACCTCCTACACAGAGGCGGTAAGGTTATGGGCAGAGCCATGAAACCTAGGGGTTTAGGAAATGAAGGACCCTGCAAATTTAAGGAACGAAGCTTGTACTTCACAGCCTCCCCGATACCAGGTTGAGTAGTGGGATTCGGATGGTCCATGTACGTCTTTTGAATTGGAAGACGATGATGAAAGTATTTTGTTTTCATAAGAATTGAGGAATGCACATGTTCCTAACCACTTTGTTTCACCGAAGATCCCTAAATATGAAGGAAAGTGTGATGTGAAACACCTTAATAATTATAAAACTGACATGAGCCTTAGAGGAACTTCGCCAACATTGAAATGCAGAGCCTGGCACACATTAACTGGAGCCGCTGAAATCTGGTATAGTCGCATACCAACTGGGAGCATCATAAGTTGGTCAAATCTCAAAAAGGTTTTCTTAAATCAAAATCTGTCAAGCAAGGAAGGAGAGGTTTCTATCCAAAGGTTGCAGGATACAAGGCAACAAACGGGTGGAACCTTGAAGAGCTATTTAACTCAATTTACGAATGAAATGACATAGTGCGAGCAAGTCACCAACAAGGAAGGCTTTTTAGCCTTGAGACGAGGTCTCAACATGAACACCATCTTTTGGAGGGATGTGCGAAATAAAAATCCCATCTCTTACAATGCCTTGGTAGAAATGATGAGAAGCAAGATTGTCAATGAACAACTGATTGACCATAGCAATTGAATCTCTATGAGACTTCTACCACCTCAAAGGCAAAGAAGAAGCCTTGTCTTACATTCGGTAAATCAAAAATGGACCCAAGCAAGGCACACAATCATCCCCAACTTCAAGCCAAGCATTAGCCATTATTACCTTAAATGCGGTGTAGTCTTTAGTGTACGAAGAAGTTGGGCCTGATGCTTAAAGACCGCTTACCCGACCAAGAGGTAGGGTAGAGAGAGGAGCAATGAGCCTAGAAATAGGTCGTATTGCACCTATCATCGAACTTACAGTGATAGTACAAACAACTGCATGTCTAGGCCACATCACTCAGAACCTACGGACTCCTACACAGAAAGGAGAAATACCCGCCAAGCTTAATAGAGTGCACCTCTTTCCAGGCATGTTTAAAGACCATCCATCGACGAGTGCCTCCCACTTTTTTAAGTGCTCAAGGAAGGGAAGAGGTTTCAATGGAACGAAAAGTGCGATAAGGCTTTCCAAGAGCTAAAGAAGCATTTGGGACAGGCCATCATTCTTTCCAAACACAAAGAAGGAGAATCATTGTTTTATACCTAGCTATATCTGCAGGCGTTGTGAGCTCAGTACTCATAAAAGAAAGAAGGCACTATACAGTTACTCATTTACTATGTGATCAAGGCCTTCTTATCAGTGGAAACATTTTATACAGACATGGAGAAGCTCGTTCATTCCTTAGCAACTGCTTTAGGAAATCAAGGCCCTATTTCCAGACCTACACCAGACAAGTAGCAACAAAATTTTCACTCAGGCAAGTTTTTTAGGAACCTAATGCCTTAGGAAGGCTAATGAAATAGGCCATAGAGTTAAGCGAGTTCAATATTGTGTACATGCCCCGAATTGCTATAAAGGGCCATCACTAGCAGATTTTGTAGCAGAGTTCACTAAGGCCTTGGATGTCGAAATGGCAATGGAACCAGATGACTCCCTAGCCTAGAACCTATTTGTGATGGCTTTTTGAGAGAGACAAGCTCAGGAGGTGAGGTGGTGCTAGTGAGCTCGAAAGGACACAAGCTCAACTGGTCAGTAAGGTTCAATTTCAAGGCCTCCAATAATGTAGCTGAATATGAGGCATTACTAGCAGACCTCGGGTTATTGAAAGAGATGCAAGTAAGGAAACTGGTGGTTAACAACGACTCACAATTGGTAGTAAGTCAAGTTAATGGCAACTTCATTGCAAAAGATAAGAGCATGGCTACATTTCTTAAAAGGTTATGGACTTGCTCCATTCTTTTGAAAATTTTTAGCTGACTCGAATACAAGGAGCTAAAAACATTCATCGATTATTGAAATTGGCCAGTGGAAGGATTTAGGGCTA